GTTTATTAATGTGTTGGTTTCCTCAAATTGAATAGGTACATACATTTGAAGAAAAGAAAGAGTAATACAGTGTTCCCAATATTGATCTACTAGGGAAACTTTTGCCAGGTATACGTTAGACAGTTACGTGAGATAGTTATTATTAATTAGTTACTTTTGCTGACATTTTTGATGAAGTTTGATAAAAAAAATTGCAACAGGAAAATCGAAGTTTACAAAATCATTCTCGGGAAAGGAATTTCAAATTTTGGCAGGGTACGCTTAGCCACATACAAAATGCAAAACAGCAAAATATTTTGCAGAATTATTCTATACACCGGCGCTTAGAATATTATAAACCTCTCAAGCTGTAATCACAATGAGAAACTGCACTTGCTTTTGTTTCGCTATTACATTGTTAGCTCACAATGCAGTTTTATTAGATTTTCACTCTCCGTTTAATTATTCAGGTGGATTTCTTCTTTTCAGACATGTCCAACAATTTTAACTAAATTCTGATCTGTTTGAAAAGCGGGATTAAGCAAATCGTGAAACATTTGTTACTTATTTAACGGAGTATTACCTGGTGAAGTAATCAATAGCTACTTCGGGGAAATTCCGAACTGTGTTTTATTTTCCAGTTTCTCCGTTTAGAAACAAGGTAGAAAAAGTCGACAGTGAGGCTAATTTCTTTATTCAATAAATTGGTAGCAATAAAATGTTTTTTCTTGCAAAAAACTTTTTTAATTTCAATAAGATGCTGTGGGTAGGATCCTGCGCTCCCACAATTTTTTTTTGCTATGCCAAAAAAATCTTTGTTGGACGCTAATTATTTCTTAGGACAACCAAGTAGTTTTTATTGAGGTTCACAAAAGATATATTGAAATAAATTACCTACGTGTTTGAGAGCAGTAACAACAATTCTGATAACTATTTTTCTGAAAAGGTTTATTATTCGTGATAAAATCCAAGGAAAAAATCAGTCTTCAAAGAAAAAAAGTGACAAATTCACACCGACATTTCAAAAATTTAAATTTCTTTCCACGATTCTCATATTTTGATCAATTTTCGGGTAATAAATATCAATCTAACTTGTGGCATGTGAAATGCAACTGTTCGTAACTGTTCCTTTTTCTTTCATATATTGTTTTATAGATTAAATTGTCGCCTTGAATGCTGACAGTGTGGTAACTGGCATTTTTGAAAGAAAATTTCTTCCGGCAATAATAATAGCAATTATTTACCTTGAGGGTACACTTTTCCTTTAAATTTGATGTACCAGTTAGGTACCAACACTTTCCGATGGCTATTTTTTGAAGGGAAGCTCTGCTTGTTCAGCTTGTCCTATTCTTGGTCCCTTTCAAATTTTGGCGTTCGCCCTGAAAGGTCGATCTTGGCCTGGGGGCAGCCATCTTCCTCAAGTGTGATTACCGTTCTCGTGGAAAATAGTACCTTATCGGCCATCAGGCACTGGTTCAACGGAATAAAGTAGCGTAAGACAAAGTTCCGTTAATTACTGAAAAAATTTAAATCCAAAGTTTTGTGATTACCGTTCTATTCAAGTTTGAATTTCGAACCCCTCGTGGTAAGTTCTTTTTAATTTGTTTAAAAGTTATGGTTCTTCATGGAATGACTCTATTACTTAGGGTCGTTCGAGGAGTCGTTTCTTTCGACGAGCCCCGTTTCTAACAAACCCATTTTCGTCGAGCCCCATTTTTCCATGCAGATGAGTTGGCTGGAGCATGCTCATAGAGCTTTTGGAGTGATTTCCTAGAGGAATCAAGTCCCTCACGTGTCGACACCTGTACCTCCACATTTGACGAATACTTTGACCTTCTAGCCTCTATCTACCTTGATTCAAGGCTAGAATCTGCAACTCCCATCTGCAACTTCCCTCGTCAAGTGACAGAAAACGGATGGCTACCGTACTCCAACGTTTTCGTTGGAATTGAGGCTTTTATAGAGTTTCATTATCTATTTTATGATCAATTAACAAAATCAATTGATTTTTTTTTTGATATGACATACATTTAAATATCTAAGTATTTAAAATTTTAATTTCACATTCTTGACCGAAGTGACCTTTAAATTATCATTTCCGATTTTCGATTTTTGAAATTTATTATAGATTTATCTTTACTCAACTTTTAGTACCGCCAAGTTTAAAGAAAGTATATTTTATTATTCATAATCATTAATCTGAACTGGGGTCAAGGTTGGACGATATGTTCCAAATTTAAATTTATTAAAAAAATTGATCAATTTTTCACCTAGATTCTACAACTTATCTATTTGAGGATTTCTGTTACATTTCCTGTATACCTCCACCATTTACCCTAACGTTCGATTTCATACAGGTTTAATTTGATTTTACTGAATTTATTTTTTAAGCACAAGTTGACCATATTTATCCATAAAAAAATAAAATTTTCTTTTATTCATTCTTTTTTTTTTAATTAAATTGAAGATTTCACTGAATATATTTTTTAAGCAGAAACTGACCATATTTATTCATACAAAATTAAAATTTTCATTCGTTCATTATTTTTTTTTTATTACTTTTTCTGGATAGTTCAAGCTTCCATGTTTTCATTTCTTATTCAATTCAATGTTATGGCCAGTGACTGTCAATAAACTAATATGGCAACTATATCGATATACATTATGATATTATTTTTTTGGAGTTTGTGAATCTGAATGTGGTTTAACCTCTATCTACTGATTTTATTTAAAGTGTTTTCCCAACAATCGATTCGATTTTTTTGAATTTTGAAGCTTGATTTTTAACCTCACTATGAATCTAATATCACGGTGGAAATATATACTATTTTGATTTGAAAATTGCTCGGGTGTTTTATTGGTTTTACCTATGTCAAGACTTGGTTGAGTTGTATGCCTTATTTATTTCTTTTTCAGGATTATCAATTACCTTTCGCTGATTATTTTTTTTAGGCGTGTTTCTGAATTTTCATACTTCAATATTTCACGTAATTTAATTATTTATTTTTACGAATTCGGCGCCCTTGCCATTCTGTAGTTATTCAACTATTGACTGATCCGTAATAATTATTCGCTGAGCAAAATGAGCATTTATGGGCCTGCCACGCTTTTTCGGTGATAAATAGTCCATAGATAAATTACCCATAATAATAATTGTTGTTGTGTTTTACTTGGCACAATTAGGGGAGGTCGGGGTATTAGTGCAGTCCGGGAAATAGCGCAGATTCAATTTCAGGGACACCTGTGACTCTTGGCAACATAGCTTTATTGCCCAAGGACGAGGTTAGAGGAACACCGATCAGTGCATTACCAATTGTCCATGTAAACAGGATCGTTTGAGATAAAAAAAAATATTTTCTAAAACTACACGAAAAATGTTTTTTTTCTAGTGATATTTGTTTCAGTAATTCAGCGGTAAGTACCCTATTAGAGTTATACAATCCTAGTTAAAATTAGTTTATGTCCTTGTGGTCCAGAACCAAACTTATTTCTTGTCATAGTTTTGTATCAGACTGTAGTTAGCAGCTTTCAAAAAAAAAATGGCGCCATCGGGGAAATAGCGCAGTCAACGTGTCGGGGTATTAGCGCATATGCGCTATTACCTCGATATTTCAAAATAATTTTGCGATAGTTGTATTTTATTTCAGATGCCACGAACGTACACGAAACAAAATGTTAGAGGTCAATGGGATCTAGCAGACTTTAAAAAAGCTATCCAGGATGTCATATCAAACAAATTGAATGTGAATCAAGCTAGTAAAGTCTATGGAATTCCGTACACGACAATCAAAGACCATGTCAGAAAAAGGTGCCGAAATTCTACTGATACCCTTGTTATACCAAAGGTCGTAGGCAGAAAACCTACTTTTGATCGCGGGCAAGAAAATCAGCTGGCAGAATATTGTTTAAAACTCTCACAGAGATATTTTGGGCTCACTATAACGGATTTCAGAAAGTTGGCATTTCAGTTTGCCAAAAAACTAGGTGTTGAGCATCGAATGAAAAACAAAAATTATGAAGAAATTGCAGGTTAGGATTTTTACTGGAATTTTAAGAAAAATTATCCTGAAATATCATTAAGGACACCCGAAGCTACAAGTTTGAGCAGAGTTGTTGGTTTCAACTAGGCAGAAATTGGCACATTTTTCGAAAACCTTTCCCTCGTGTATGAGAAAAATAACTACGCTGCCAGTGACATTTATAATGTTGACGAGAGCAGCTTACAGACCGCGTATAAACATTCCAAAATATTGGCGCCAAAAGGTGTTAAGCAAATAGGCAAGATCATCAGTGCAGATACCGTCACTGTTATTTGTTGTTTCAGTGCTGCTGGAAACTATGTTCCACCTTTCATCCTGTTCCCTAGGAAAAACATGAATGACCGACTCACGAAAAATGCTCCTCCTGGTTTGAAAGACTTCGCTAGCTCAAATGGTTGGAGCAACTCTGAAATCTTCACCAAATGGATGCAACATTTCATAGAGACAGGTAGACCTTCTAAATCCCATATGGTTTGCCTCATTTTAGATAATCATGAGAGTCACATTTGTCTTCCAGTATTTGACTTGGCTAAAGAGCATGACATAGATATGGTTTCTTTGACTCATACGTGTCATAGAACAAAACCTTTGGACAGAGTATTTGTTGGGACTTTGAAAACCGAATTTAACAATCAGTGTGCATATTGGATGAAATTCAATGCTGGTAAAAGAATCACTGTGTATGAAATGGCCGAGTTATTTGGTACCGCCTACCAAAAAGTGGCAACTGTTGATGAAGGGGTTTATGGCTTCAAAGCTGCTGGTATTTTTCCTTATCAGCCTAGCGTCTTCTCTGAAGAGGATTTTGCGGCAGCGGAAGCTCTTTTCTTTAAAACAAATCAACAGATTGAAGCTGCGATTCGAGAAAACACAACAACGCCACCCCCATCTACCAGCACGCCTAAAGCTACAGAGACATTGCAAACAATTCGTGACCTTCTTCGAGAAAACACGACAACGCCACCTCCATCTAGCAGCACGATGAAAGGTCATATCGAGGCAACGCAGACAACTTATGACGTTCCAATATTGGATAACAGTGATATTTTCACCTATCTCACAAATCAGACAGAGGCAATAAAAAGAAATATAAGGAAAAAACATTCGGAAATCTTAAGTTCGACGCCATTGAGGAAAGAATTAATCAAAAAACACGAGAAATCAATCACAAAGGCAGCAGTAAAGTCAGTTAAGAGAAACCTCTCTAAGGAGAATAAGCTGAATACTGAGACTGAGAGTTATCGCAAAAAGATTAAACCCTCGATTAAACCTAATGAAGATGATACTTCTGAAGAAGAAATAATTATGTCGTCTTCTTCAGATGATGGAAGTGATGGTGATTTCCAGTTTAATGAATTGGACGGCGATCCGAAGATACATGATTATGTTTTGGTAGAATTTAATACCAAAGACCGAAAAATTTACTATGTGGGAAAAATACTTACCGATATAGACGAAAACAAAGAATACGAAATATCATTTTTCAGAAAAAGTGCAAATTTTGAGAAGCATTTTGTTTTGCCACCTAACTTAAATATCTCTTTTATCAAGAAGACGGACATTAAAATGATTTTACTGCAACCCATATCACACGGTAAAACAAAACGGCAACATTCATTCTTATTCTTCGGTGTGTCCTTTGGTAATTTGATGGGGCGTTACTGTGCCGCGCTATTACCCCGATAAGTAGGGGTAATAGCGCAAATGAGGTTTTTTTTTAATGATAAACAGGAATTTTTTTTTTTTCAAAGTTTTGCATTTGGAGCCTTAAAATACATAAAATTAGTAACAGATAACAAAAAAAAAAAAATTCTATTACAAAAATCTTTTAATCTACAAGCGATCAAAATTTTACCTGCGCTTATACCCCGACCTCCCCTACTGAATTACACCAGGCACTTTTTGAATAGACTGAGTGAAAGAAAAAAAAAATGAATTTACATTGCAACTTAGTCAATTGTTAATATCAAATTTACTGGATAAAACTATAGCTCTTGAAAATTATTGTAATAGAAAAATTGGATAATAACATTTATCTATGATAATGATTAATCAAATTAGACAAAATCAGATAAAGCTTTAACAAAAAAGAAAAGGTGTTTCGAGTTTCCAAACAAAATTGAAGGTTATTAGATTATGCCTCACCTGTTGGAATAGGGTTTTATTTGCCACAAAAATACGCTTATCGTCTGAATTAGTCGGGATTCGAGATCCTGGATAGAATATGGTGGTTTCTAGGGCAGCTCTTCACTAGTGATCGAATAGAGAAAGTCAGAATCGCTTGTGGTAAAAAACGAGCAAAGCAAAACTTACCGAGATGGTTTTTAAAAATCTGAGGAGATCATCGGCGAAACTATGACACTTTACGAAAACGTAACGCAGCGTAAGGCAACTCAATAAATTCAATAACTGAGAAAATGAGGTCCAAAATCCCCTTTAGGGCGAAGACGAAAATTAAATTCTTCAAGAGAGACCCTTTTCTCGGAACAACCAAATCGTAAAAGGTAGATTCACCACAAGTAATTACCCACATAACAAAATTGCATCCTTAGAATGTATTAGGAATGTTCTTTTTTCAGGAGGAATGTGCCTAGAATGTTCGCCAAAACCATTGCGAATGTCCTGAGAATGTTCTGAGAAAAGATTGTAGAATTACTGTTTGCAATACCCAAGAACTTCCTGGGAAATCCATTAGGATATTCCTAGAATATACCTATGAGATTCTCAGTAAGTCCTTAAAATAATATTCCTGATTGATTCTAAATATATGCTCGAAACGTACCTATATTCTCACATTCAAAGAATGTTTCTATGACATTATAGTTATGTTCTCAAAAGAATATTATACCAATATGCTTGAAATATTCTTAGAATATATCTACATATATCATTCTCAATATGCATATTAGACATTACATTCTTGTTTGATTCTAAGGATATACTTGGAATGTTTATTTTCGCTTCCAAATAATGCGCGTTTCAGCCCTTTTATATTAAAGGCAGTGAAAGAGTTGTTGGAAAACTTCTCTATAAAACACGAGTATTTAACCAAAGCTCTGGTTTCGAGCTTGTTATGCTCTCGTCGAAGCACGCCAACTGAGAGAAACAGGTTCCAAGGTGATTCAAATGCGAGGCAAGATGTAGATCTTTAATAGCGCGTCGCTCCCTCTCTTGGAAGTCATACAAAGCAAAAGGAAAAGAAGAAGAGCATTATTGTTTAATTGTACAATTAAGATTTTTGAGTAGGTACTTTAGATAATTAGATGAACAATATGAAAATATTCTTATCATGGTTACCTACCTACATAAACTTCTCAGCACAACTTGGTAGGTATATTCTTAATACTTGATAGAGATATTAGCTTAAAGAACATTCTTAAGGGTACATTATAATAATGTTCGTATGAGAATATTCAAATAATGTTATATAAAGTAGGTTCTTAGCACAATCTTTCAGGTAGGTGCATAGAAGCAACATTTCTAGTACAGAAATAGAACGTTCAAAAATGAATATTTCAATCGAAACAATCTTAGAATATTCATTGAACATTCCTAAAAGAATATTCCAAAAAGTACTTTGAGGGAATATTCTGAGAATATGAATGTTCTTTCACTGTTATGTGGGTAACTAGCTGTCCTAGATTTGAAGAATAGAGAAGAGGCAAAGTATCGACAAACGTCAAAAAAAAAATCAAGAAGATTTGTGAGTACCAAAAATTACACACAACAATATAATCTGAGAAAAATGACAACAGCTGCCGACTCATGATAATAGCAATAAGTAATTAACCACTAAATCAATCATAATTTGAAGAATACGACATTGAATAAGCAATTCGTGGTGCAAAACGTAAACGCTTACAAAGGAATCGATGATCCCAAAGACATTATTAATTGAACTCATTAAACAACATTTCTGCCATCAGCTGGCACACAAATCATGAGTGACATGACCTAAGTGTCACTATAGAATAGAGAGCAAAGAGAGAAATCCGGTGGTTTATGGAACCTATGATGAAACCGGATGCAGAACTAAACCTATCACTGAGTTCAGCAACCGAACAGAGTACGTGCAGACTCCAGCGTATACTTCGTGAACGGACCACTATTTGGAAAACGTAACCCAAGAATAGGAAATATTTGATCTGTTAACATGAAGATTTATTATTGGAAAATGGAATTAAAATAATGATTAAAATCGAGGAAAATCATTAGTCGTCACAAGGGTCACAAGTGAAAATAGAATTTAAATAATAAAGATTAGGAAATTCATAGGATCTGCAATAACTGCAATTATTGTTGAATTTTTAAAAAGGAAAAATGTAAACAAATACTAATAAAATTAGGGAAAAATTAGGAATTTTGAATGGAGAACTGAAAATAAATATGAAATAGTTAAAGGAAATTTTGGCACGTTACAGGCCTCTTGGTAATTCTTTAACAAAAGGGGTTACAAGTTGCATTATACGAATTGTGGAAAACGTACCAGTAAATACGTCTCCGTCACTCTCTGATAATTATTACGCACTTTAAGTATTGAAACTTTAACATCACACATGAGTACAATCGAAATAATACTATATATATATATAATAATTATAGTTTACACTTTGACATTTTCATGTCAGGCGCATTAGTCAAGTTTATATGGCAACTGAAACGTGGCAATGGCATGAAACAAAAAAATATTGCGAAGCGTTAATATGTCTACCTTAGATGAAAAAGTATTCAAGAAAATGAAAAATATTTTATGGCATGTATGATTCTTACAAGCATCCAAAAAACATTTACTTTCTGGCCTTGCTTTATAAATAATTATATCAATTCAGTTATTTGAGAAAAAAAAATAGTAAATATGATTCTTAAATGAATCTCACTTTTAAATAAATTACTGGAATTAATATTAAGTAGATAATAAGTGATTTATTAACAAACCCAATAGCACAAACTCTATATCCGAAAATCCAGAGTGCGAAAAGGAAAAAGCGCAATTTTATTGCCTGCCATTTGTCAGTCTGCTTTTCTCGCCTGAGAGAAAATTTGGTCTATTCGTCACGATGTGTGGTAATTAATAAACCTCTGGGGCGGTAATAATGAGTGCCATTAACATTAATGCGTATAATAATACTCGCAGTACGAGGCTGTTATAGGCGTCAAACCGAGCCATGTCGTTATCGGGGCCTGCAGAATAAACACTTTATTAAGAGCAAATGTGCTCACAGCTTAGCGTATTAGGAATAACCTAATTACTATTAATAGGTTTCCTTTTACCGGGTGAACAGCAAAACTATTTAAATGGGTTGACACTGGTGTAGTCGGCGATTTTCCGATTACCTAATGCAATCACGCAACTTTGTGAAGCTACCAAAATATCAAATCAGAGAAATACCCACAAACTAATACTACTTAATACATTCAAGCATGCATACGAAACTATTGGTCTAGAACTTATCATGGTTAAGACCAAAAACCCACAGCAGTCGGCCTCAAATATTAGTTGCCGCAGATATTTCGCTCTGACTTAAGTACGTAGCGCAGCATGTGTACGTCTTTTTGAGAGGATATTCGACAACCACGGCATAAGTCTACAAACTAAGCCCTTGGAGTACAATGGCAACGTCATACCAATACCTTTATACGGTTGTGAGAGATGCTCGAAAAGATACCACCAGCGGTGTTTAGAAAAAATACTTGATCAAGGCTGGAAGTAATTCGAACCGCACAAGCGTAGGGATTCGTAGAATAACGGTATCGTAGAGAAGATCTTGAACTTTTGATGAGCGATTAGCTGCAGCTGATTCGGTGTGCAATAGATGTGGATCCTGAATGGACTTCTTCAGCCATCAAAAAACCCAGAGATTTATAATGTCCTTTGTAGATTTGTAGATTTGTTTGAATGGAGATGGCGCGGAGGCGTCCTGTAGCACTGCAACCTTGTCAGATTTATTGTGGCATCTCCTATCTGTCCTTAGAGTGCGTTCTTTAGACCCGTCCGTTTGTGAATGCCTATGAGGAATTAATTATTTAAATATAAAAACAAAGCTATTTTTAAACAAAATTAGAAAAAACTTGAGTTTCTCTCCAGTTAACCCCTTGAGGGGTGTCTGGACTTTGAGTTACTATTTCGTTTTTTTTTTTCTGTGACAATTGGTATATTAAAGCAATGTAAGCAATTAAAAGTATTTTTTTTGATAAGAATGATAAAAACAGGTCACACTTGGCAACGAAAAACTCAATTCAAAATATGTTTGCACCAAAATCTGGAGAATCTGAAATTTTTAAATTATTATGTATCACTGTAGGTACTCAACCCCTCTTCGCGATAAATATTTTTGGGGGAGTGTGTTGAGAAATTGAAGGGTAAAAGTTTGTCGTGAGTATTTCGTTGTGACATAAGCACATTTCGATAAGAATAGATGTGTATCATACAAAAGCAAAGCAACAGAAGGTGATGCTGTTTGCAGTTGAACCGATCATGAAATAAGGATTTTATGTGTAAGAAGTTAAACAACTTATAAAATCGCGAAGAATAATAAATTGTGAATCGTTATGTATCTGAATTTGAAAGCTAGGTATGCGGTGTATCCACCTTAA